GGGGGCGTGGGGGTGTTGCTTGTTTAATCAGTTATCTCTCTGCTGCTTGTTTCTTCCAGTCAGAATCATGTAATTCAGAGCATTTTTATTGCTTCACCTCTGAAGAGCTTGCCTATGCACAGTCTGGAACCAAAATAACTGAAATTAGAAGTAATTTAACACGATGAGTTATTTTAGTATAAGCCTTTTTGCAAAAGTACTCTTTAATTTCTGATTATGAGTATCCTATTTCAGTTTAACATAGCTGTAAGTTAAATCAAAACAGGATACGGATAATCTTAAAGCAGTAAATTAGGTACAATTTTAGTTATTTCAGTGCTAGCCTTTTGTAAATAGACAGGTTAATCCTGAGTTAGGGTCTTTCTTGACACCTGATTGTATTAGGTGCCATAAGAGATGTCCACATCGAGAAAATCTGTTGATGCTAATTATCACCTTTAGGGGGTACTGTCCTCGTGGAAGTTAAAGGGCAAATAAAAGTAGAAATTCTTTGCTTCTGGAGGCTGCATCTGGTAGTTAGTGGAGTCATGCAAAGGGTACTCTGCTGCTTTTTTCCCCTTTTTCTTAGGTCACAAGTAGGGAAATATCCTGTCAGGCTAATGGTGTCCACCAGAATGGATTTTAATTAAAAAGAAAAAGTAATAATCCAAAACATGTTGTGTATTTTTAAGAACTTAGAGGGCTGAAAATAACTGCTGTAAGTACAGGTCCCCCTGATGTTCAGGTTAATGGTGTATTTATTGTTTACAGAGGATGGAAGCAGCTCTTCTGACAATAAAGCTTTTTGAACAACAAGTGAAAATGTGGTAACAATATACCTGATAATAGAAAGCAATGAATTGTAGCTTTAAGAAATGGCAACAGTGTTGAGTAATTTTAGCACATGTCCTTCTGCAGATTTTTGTACTTTTTACATAAAATTCTGCTTCTTCCCCAATACATTTCTCTTTGTTTTATGAAAAAAATTACACAAGCACATCTCAGGTATTTGTCTAAGCAGGAGTACAGTGAGCCTGAATTTTAAGGGATTTGAGACATGGCATGAGCAGAAGTCATATGTTGTGCTTTAAGGTGGGTCAGCTACTATAGTCTAGCTCGTAATGCCATTTATACCAAGAGGCTCAAAACGTTTCCGAAGGAAGTTATTTATTTTACATCCTAGAATGTTACTAAAAAGTTATTTTTGTCAATACTGGCCAGAGACACTGCTGTGATATTGACCCAAATTCAGCTGTGTTACTGCATTATGAGGGCGAATGTTTCCTCCTTCAGTTTTATTCCAGAGCCGAGAGCTTTCCCTCAGGCTTTAGTTCAAGGTTACAGGACTGGAACTGCTATGGGGAAGCTGCAGTTTTAGATAAAACTTCACTTCTCAAGCTCCTGAAGATGTAGTTGACCTTTTAAAAGATGGGGATACACAATTATCTGGTGTGTATAGAGAGCATGTATGTAGTGTATTTAAGTTATTAATATTGAGCAGTACAGATGAAGGACTTCAAAAAGTAGGTTCTTCCTCAGA